ATTTTAAAACAACTTGTTGCGAGCATTCGTTTTATACGCCTAGTCATAAATCAGAATGTTCACAACAGACATTTATCGAGAATTTTACTAGAGCAACCCACTAAAGATTTGTTCAGGGTTATTTAAAAGAAAGAAACATCCACCTTTCAAGCATCGGAACTTTCCAGTATTGTGCTGAAGTACCGTTATTCCCAATGATAATGTACTAGTGGCTTTAAAAACAGGTTCTAAATATTTTTTAATGTACATCAAAGTTCTAAACTAGATCACCAGTGCACCCTTCAAAAAACTTACACACTTTCTGATTATATCTAGTTAGTAATTGCAATATTGTATTCACTTTGGGGTATGTTTTTCGTACACTGGAAAACTGCACATTTGACATGACGGCATTCGAAATCGTCTGTCCCTCAGGAAATCTTTGAAAACGGGATTCAGCCCAAAATAACTTGGAGCTAAATCAAATCACTTTGGAAGATGTGTCAATGTTGGTCTTGAAGGCGAAATTATGTAACGTTGCTTCGTCCTAGATTGGCACCACCGCATGGATGGGTTGTTCGGTCACAACTTTGGGCAATACTTTGAAGACATAAATATGCCCAGAGATACAGAGTGAGTCACATGAACGTGGATGGTCGTACTTGCTGCAGTGAATAACAAAACGAATGAAACTCTCTTGACAGTCCGATTACGTAGAGCTAAGTGTGTGTTTTACTCATGTTTTTTTTTCCGATAGATAAAAGTGTTATTTTCTCTCTCGTCGGTCTCAAAAAAAAAGTAATTCCATGCTTCGTCACCTGCGACAGTCTCAGTCGAGCATCACTTGTCAATCTAATCATTTTATACCGCGAGTACTGTATACTCGCTATTAAGACGAGTCCGACTGCAAACTGCATAGACAAAGATATGCCGTCTAATAATGCGTAGGCAGATCAGGGTCTGTGACGTTTGTTAGGAGTAATCAGTAGAACAAATGGCATACACCCTGATCTATAGGCACATTATGCTGCATCAGATCAGGATCTTTGTTGGTAAAATGTTTGTCTCGTCTTAAAGGCGAGTACATAAGGTAGTTGCTTTGTTGATTTCAACCGGGATCTGGTTTTGATCAGCTTAAAATAACTGCTGGACCAATCTTCCCCAAACTTTCAGCTTCAAACGATTTTTCAGTACTATATTAAAAATAGCGGACGAATTAATGGCCGTCATAATATAAATATATTCTGCTGTTTATCAGGCAGATTCATCGAATATCGCCATTGACAGCAGCCACTTCCACTCAGCAATTGAAGATAACAGTATTCTAGAATAACCATCATCTTTAGAACGACGAAATCACCCCAAAATTGGAGGATATATCAGAATTATATCCGTTTACATTATCTATGTCGGCCTTATGTCAATAGGAGTGTTAGTACGCTACGAGCGCCCATATTTTACAGCTCAGTAACAGAATTGTTCTCCTACGAAACTTTTACTTCATTATCATTTTCATGTGACGTCACACTCGTGCAACGGCAATTGTCCGGCGTGATGCACGTGGAGCTGCAGATTATTTGAATGAATGTTATTGAGTCTAGCGAACAGTGTTCAATTTATTGACAGATTCAAAGAAACAACAGTTAAAGCAAAACATTTAGATATTCTACGGTAACCTTTGTACTTTAGTATGCATTTATCCTATGGAACGACAGTCGTCTGTCGGTCGAATAAGCAAGAATGGAACATGGCATGATCTAATGAGTTGTACATCATCTCCTAAGAAAGGATATATAAAATCAGATATAAAATTGTGTTGAATGAAACTTAAAAGTCATCATAATCGATTAAAAGTCTTTCCTATAACCGATTAAAAGCCTTCCCTATAACCGATTAAGAGGATTTATTATAACCGATTAAAAGCAAGCAAATTGCCTCGTAAAATTACCAAATCATCTGCCGAAGCATTTTGTAAGAAATATAACCTTGTGAAATTGTTCATTCTTTCAAATTCATTGTGATTCTAGTTAAATGAAGTAGTTTTGCACAGACAAACCTTTTGGGTAAATGAAAGAAAGGAGTTAGCTTTGTAGAGACAAAACATTTCTTCAAGTGAAAGCAGAGGAAAAGCTTCGTAGTGATTTGAAGTAGCTTTGTTTCGACAGAACAAGTGAAAGCAGGGAATTCAAATGTCTTTGTTGTGAGAAGCAGTTTCGGTAAGTAGAAGTGAATATGAAGGCATATTCCTGCAACCATTCAACTTCGTTTAAATTTCTCCCATCAACACATCTCGAAGCAATTTTAAGAAAGCGAATATATTTGATGAGTTTAATGTGCCAACTAAGAAAAATATCTTGTACGGTGTAACAAGGCATCATACATTAGGTGCTTTTACTTTTGCTACTTTCTCTAGTATCTCGTAACTGTCCTAACTGTTAGGAGGCATTCGTGTGTCAAGTAAGGCATTCGTGTGTCAAGTAAGGCATTCGTGTGTCAAGTAAGGCATTCGTGTGTCAAGTAAGGCATTCGTGTGTCAAGTAAGGCATTCGTGGGTCAAGTAAGGCATTCGTGTGTCAAGTAAGGCATTCGTGTGTCAAGTAAGGCATTCGTGTGTCAAGTAAGGCATTCGTGTGTCAAGTAAGGCATTCGTGGGTCAAGTAAGGCATTCGTGTGTCAAGTAACAACGAAAATTAGCATTTTTGGACACAACTAAGGAAACACCGTAAACATGGTGATGCGACACAAGGTTATAGGAGGAAGGTCATTCACATTTTTATATATATATATATATATATATATATATATATATATATATATATATATATATATATATATATATATATATATATATATATATATATATATATATATATATATATATGTTGTAATGAATAATAGTGGTTTAAGTATGGATCCGGCCGTTTCTTTAATTATATGTTGATTTATTTTATCTACTCTACATTCTTTGATGGCGGGCAATTAGTTGATGAAATTAACAGCAAAGGAATTAAGATATGCTGCTATTTCAGTATAGAAAATGCTACGTATAAAGGATTCTTTGGCATTATTGGTATTTGGATTGATCACTTTTCTTGGACAAAATGATGCCCATGTTTCCAGTAGTCACTCGATTTTACAGCAATAGGATCAAGATTCTCAAAGTTACAGATAACGTTTTCTCTGCTATTTGTTCTGGTGTTTTACTCACTGACTTAGATTATTACTATCAATATTTATTTTTTCTACAGTCGCGCTTCCTGTTTGCTCTACGTAGTGTGCTATCATACCTATGTATTGTGCTACCATACGAAATACATTTGTCTTTGGACTGTTACTGTACAGTCTTTAGCAAAATGAATGTACCAAAAGAAGCATCACTGATATCACCGCAAATTTCTAACTTAAAGAGTCAAGTCCATAATTGCTATAAAATTATTAAATTTTTTTCTAAAAATTTGTTATATTATGAAGCCTCACGCCTGACGTATAACAGGTGAAGGATTTGTAATGAAACTTTGTAATTAAAAAAGAGGCCATGTGATCACGTACATTCCAGAATAGAACATATCTTTATTTAGAAATATAACAATCAGATTTCCAGAATTCTGCGCTATGTGTTACATCGGTCAGCGCAGTTATTATGTTTTGTTGTTGTTGTTGTGCTTAACGCCATTTTTCAGCACACGATAGGCTATTCATGGCGGCCAGTATTAATGGTGGAAGAAGAAACCGGGAAATCACCGGAAAGAACCACCGACCCACGAGAAGCTACTGGCATGCTTTCTCACATATACACATTCGCCGAATCCTAGACTCGAACCCACGCAGACAGAGGTGAGATGGCAGTGATCCGTAACGGACAGCGCTTTAGACCACTCGGCCACTCGAGGCCCCCTATTTTGTTTTGCGTGTCATTAATATGTCAAAATAATAAAGTTATAATTGCATTTTTGTTTCGAAGAACAAATCGTACAATTCCAAGAAATTAAAGCATTTTGGTGTGATGCTAAAACCAAAGAGATTTCTTAATCTACCCATCGTATTGACACTGTACATGTAAATAATAATAATAATAATAATAATAATAATAATAATAATAATAATAATAATAATAATAATAATAATAATAATCTGACTCAAGGACAATACCTTTGTATACATATCAATCATAGGAACCTAATTCGATAACTATTTTTATATTTGGACAGGTTTCGTTATCAGTTTTAAGTTTTTTAGAATAACTCATACCATTTATTAAAAAATATGGAATCAGGAAAGTGACTTTTACAAAAATACAAATAGTTTCTATTTAATTACATTATATCACACAGAAAAGTTCATACTTTTTTGTTGATCCTTTCACTTTTTTACCTCCCCCAATATTGAAAAGGAAAAAAAAAAACTTTCTATTCATATTCTTAACCCCCCCTCGAGAGTCTTATTGTTCCATTCTCACGTGACCAGCGTAGCTCTGTCACATTTACACATAATTGGTCTTCATTTTGGTAGGTGAATTGCCAATTACACGTAGGAGTGGTTTTAATGGTTTCATCTTTTCAGGTCCAAGCTGTAAGAAGTTATTGTCCATATACATTAAATTTCCACTGCATTGTCTCTCGTATTGCTGTCTTATATAACAATGTAGAGCTCAGAAACTATTCAACATGTTCAGATACAGTTTGGTGTGTACACTGTGTCAGGACAAATATGCTTTGTATGGTCTGTGTCTCGTCTACTCTATGTACTATAGAAGTATGACTATTGACAATTGCCTTCATGTCTTCAGGTGTGTGTGTGTGTGTGTGTGTGTGTGTGTGTGTGTGTGATATGGATTTTAACGCAGTTTTAACAACTTATCAGTCACATCGCTAAGATATCTTCAGTGTGGCAATTTAGAGTGATGTGTAGCACTGTCCCACCCAATCAAATTATCCTGACACCAGGCTGACCAGTCCTAATACCTATTAATGTCGAGGGCCTAAAGAGGCAGCTGTTAGTATCATTTTTAGATATTTTTAATATGATTCGGCCGGGATTCGAGCCTGCGATCTCTCGCATCCGAGGCGGACGCTCCATCCACTAGGCCACCGGAGCGGTCTTCATATGGGATACCATTCAACATATTTTAATACAATTTGTTCTGAACATCGTCTCATAGACTTACATGAGTTTAGTTTTCTTTCAAAAGCCATGTCGTCCTTAGTACTATTTGGACTGGTTTCTGTATTTATTGAATTTTACCATATTTGGCATCCTGATTGATATTGACAAGACCATGAATTGATTTCCAGGATTCCGTGACATATTTTACATAAGTTATGGGCCTTGATTACCCGTTCCCTTGAATACGATTCCGCAGAAAATCTTTACTTTTTAGATTTCAGCCAAATTTTTTTTTTGCAGTTTATATTGATCAGACGTTAAACGAATTCATTTTCGTATATTCCACATTATAATTGCTCTATCACCTATCTTGCTTTCCGCAGAATGTCTTTTTTAAGTAATATGACATTTCAGCGAAAGTTCTTATGTACCTTTGTATTGATGAAATCTTGAATTGGATTTCCATCACATTTTCATTTAGAAGAGTTATGGCCCCTGCATACCCATTTCACCTAACTTTAGTTTTACCAGATGTATTGAAGAGATAGGGACCGTTAGCAATCAACCATTGCTATTGGCAAATCATTCGAGTTACATTTTAAATCCTGGTTTCATGTACTAGCGAAAAGCTGGTTGAACTGTGAATTATAACGATCATATTGACACAGGCGTGCACACTTTTTTCATGACATGATTATGATATTAAAAAAGTAGGTCAAGATATAAATTCAGTGAGGAAAACCCCACAGCATCTTAAGATGGCTTACTGCATTACATGATGTTTGTCGTCGCTTGGTAACTCACATGTTAGAGTCAGAAATCTGAATTTAAAATCAGCCTTAAAGTTATTTCAGGCTCCTGTTGAATCCATATTTAGCATTTTCTGCATATGTGTTTTTGTATATATGTCTTTGGTTGAAATATATTTTTCTTACCAAGAGATTTGTTTATTACTCCAATAATATCTCGATGTGATACAAATATTTACATAAAGTAAGTTACAAAATTAGACAAACTTTATTTAACGTGAATCAAGAAGTATACATAAACAAAAAATAGCTGAATAAAATATTTTTGTTCTGTGGTATCTCTTGGTAATATTTGTAATATTTATATATTTGTAATATTTATATTGTATTTATAACATTTGTAATATTTACATTTTATATCTAATAACCATTGAACTTTGAATTGTAATAAATGCAGTCATAACCTAATGAGGATATATTTTCTTGTCGTCGTTGTTGTCGTTCACAGTTACTACTCCGAATTATAACGACCAAACATTTCATCAACAACACGAACATTATCGTAATAAAAGTGTATTCCATTAATACGTGTCTGGCATTTGTTTTTTTTTTTTCTTTTTCATAGAAGTCTATATTTATTTTTTAAAATCAATGTTTACATGACACTTTCGTCGAGACATTTTCTTTCTTTAAATGAATACTAAAGTGTTTTCCTACAGTTATGCAGCCGTTTATCGAGACTGTATTAGGTAGTGTTGTTGGGATAGATTCAACAAGGTAGGAATGAAACTGCAGACTAAGTACATGCAAAGCAGAGGAGGAAGAAACGAAAACTGATTGAGGATGATATTTTGCATCTATCTAACGAAAGAAGGCAAGCAAAAACAAAACCACAGATGAAAATGACGATGCTCTTATCTTGAAGGAAACGAGACAAGATGCATAAAAATGGATAAGGGAATAATGCGATAAAATAGAAGAGAACAAGACGCATACCATCGACACAAAAAAAACTTTCTAAGCAAAGTAAATGTCGAGAAAAGCCCTTTTTGCAAGTTTCTGGCAGATTTAAATTTGTGGTAATGTTGACGTTAACTGAACTATCGAAAAGCGTGATGTATTCACAGACATGTTCAACTATATCAATACAATGTACCATAAATCTGTTTTCAGTCAAAGAAGAATGACAAAAATAACGTAATATGTAAGAAGAAGCAACGTGATGCCTTTCATATCACATACTTTATGTTTCTGTTATCTATAAGTGGTGTTATACCATATTAAACCTTATTTCCCAGGGCTAGCTGTTCCTGTCAGGAATGTGGACAAGAGTGATATACAGCAGCGATCGGGAACAAGTGTTTTAAATAGAAAGGTACGAGAGAGTGGACAAATTTAATATATAAATAATCTTACCTTTTTCAATTGGTTTGTCTTACCTTGTCTACTCTAGCAATAGGTTAAATTCTGCATTTGAGCAGTTCATATTCGCTTTGTCACGCTGCAATTAACAGAAGCGACTATGGCTTTAAGACGCATACACATATTATTTGAATTAACGAGAAAAATAGTATTACGTGTTTCTAGCATTATAGTATTACGTGTTTCTAGCATTAACAAGAAAATCATTCCTGCTCATTCTATTCAGTTTTATTTCATATCATGGTTGATTCCTTAAAACATACTGAGTAGCATCCCAACGTTAATTACATGTTTATTTAAATTATCATATAATAGTGAAAACAGATTAGGGTTAAATAGGCGAAAAGATTAATGACTGCCCATATAACTATGTTTTATTTAGGAGACGATCTTGTGTAAAGAGTTTGGACACCAGCAAATATTCGACGCCAAATTAGTAATCTGATTTTCGGTTTTGAAGTTATACAATTTGTCGAGCAAGAAATCAAACACATGCTCAGATTAGACAATCTTAAACATAATGCAAAGATTAACTTTTTTAAAGAAATTGTCAGAAAGAGGAGAAAGGGGCACATAGATGTGTACATTGTATTGTTGCTACACGCCGGAGAGAAGTATACTTTGAAGCATCGCTGGAACGCGTGGACAGAAATGTGCGTCCTTTAAGACGAGTTGTTGTAACGCTTGGAGAGAAATTAACACTGATATAATCCTGTAAATTGGGTTAGGACGCGTTACGTGTTCCAACATTTTGGGTCTGAGCAAAAAGTTAAGTTTACAACCTCCAGGCTGTTTTAGTTGCAGATGACCTTGACCATGAGTTTGCCATCACACATTTTAACAGGTACTAATTATCTGATTTAATCTGCTTTCTATGTTTCCATGTCATTAATTGTGGTTATAAAGTGCAAAGCAGACGGCTTTTCTTAGAAACCAGAGGTATTTTAACAGAAGTCATTTTAAGAGTGAAAACATTAATTTATTTGGTTGTAAGATTGAGTTAGGTATTTTGTTCCATGTTGCATTTTTGCATTCTCTTTATATATTGCACTTTCAAGGGGTGCATCATTCATTCAATGCATGAAACATGTCAGTAGTAATTAGAATATGCAGGTATCTTTTCAAAATTTTAACATTGTACCACCAATCAAAATATCAGATGACAAAAAAGAAGCCGGAGGTAGCTGGCAAAATTAAAAACTCAATATATTAATTATCAGTTTAATTACATGAGGAAAACAATTAGTAGTAATGTCGAGTAGAATGATATAACTTTTTATCTTCTTAGAACATGTACCGTTATGCATTAAACGGAAGTAATTAGCTCTATTTGGAACACCCTGGGACATTTTTCGAACATCCAGATGGCAGTAATTAGCATTAAATGTAACACTATCACATTATTCTGATATCCAGGATAATCATAAAAATGTGTCCGGATAGCATTCATCTTTCTAAAGAATCATGACCAAATCTTGACCTGGCAATTCGGTAGACGTATAAGCTACCGTCTTTCTAAAGAATCATGATCAAATCTTAACCTGACATTTCGGTAGACATATAAGCTACCATCTTTCGAAAGAATCATGACCAATATTAACCTGGCATTTCTGTAGACGTATAAGCTGCCGTCTTTCTGAAGAATCATGACCAAATCTTAACCTAGCATTTCGGTAGACGTATAAACTATCGTCTTTCTAAAGAATCATGACCAAATCTTAGCTTGTCATTTCGGTAGACGAATAAGCTATCATATTTCTAAAGAATCGTGATCAAAGCGTACCCTGGCATTTCGGTAGACGTATAAACTATCGTCTTTCTAAAGAATCGTGATCAAAGCGTACCCTGGCATTTCAGTAGACGAATAAGCTATCATATTTCTAAAGAATCGTGATCAAAGCGTACCCTGGCATTTCGGTAGACGTATAAGCTATCATCTTTCTAAAGAATCGTGATCAAAGCGTACCCTGGCATTTCGGTAGACGTATATAAGCTATCGTCTTTCTAAAGAATCGTGATCAAAGCGTACCCTGGCATTTCGGTAGACGTATAAACTATCGTCTTTCTAAAGAATCGTGATCAAAGCGTACCCTGGCATTTCGGTAGACGTATAAACTATCGTCTTTCTAAAGAATCGTGATCAAAGCGTACCCTGGCATTTCGGTAGACGTATAAACTATCGTCTTTCTAAAGAATCGTGATCAAAGCGTACCCTGGCATTTCGGTAGACGTATAAACTATCGTCTTTCTAAAGAATCGTGATCAAAGCGTACCCTGGCATTTCGGTAGACGTATAAACTATCGTCTTTCTAAAGAATCGTGATCAAAGCGTACCCTGGCATTTCGGTAGACGTATAAACTATCGTCTTTCTAAAGAATCGTGATCAAAGCGTACCCTGGCATTTCGGTAGACGTATAAACTATCGTCTTTCTAAAGAATCGTGATCAAAGCGTACCCTGGCATTTCGGTAGACGTATAAACTATCGTCTTTCTAAAGAATCGTGATCAAAGCGTACCCTGGCATTTCGGTAGACGTATAAACTATCGTCTTTCTAAAGAATCGTGATCAAAGCGTACCCTGGCATTTCGGTAGACGTATAAACTATCGTCTTTCTAAAGAATCGTACCCAAAACTTAGCTTGGCATTTCCGTAAACGTATATTAACAGTACCTTAAAAAGTATAAACTCTGTTGCCTGCTTATAGCACTATCATATATTAACGCTCTGCCCAGCTGTGCTCTTTGCACGTTTTAAGCTATAACTTTAAATTTGCAATCTAGTAGAAAAATGCGTTACAAAGTACCACTACTTCTTACGT